TTTATTAAGAGTAGTTTGTGAGAGTCATTGACGACCTGCTTGGTTTGTATAATCTAAACCATCGTTCAAAAAGTTAAATTAAGATGACAAGGCGTCTAACGGCATAATAAATGAGCAACATTTATTTCCACTTTTTTTATACATTAAACGTGCATATCAATAAAACTAAAACCGATCATATAAATACCTCTACTATTATACTGTTACAATAAATATGGCTCTACAGATTCTAGGTTAAATAAAAAACAGATTTCAGTATCAACTGCGGTGCAACACAAGGAGACACTCTCGGGACACACTGTACATGTCTTCTCTTTTAGCACATTTTCCATGTCAAATGATGGACTTGTTTGGTGATTGCGATATGATACAGTGTACTCCACTCTCATTTAAAAGAGCCCGTTTGCTCTCTGCTGTGCTTTTCCTAAAAGAGATATTGTTGAATAATGTTCACAGTGTCAGCATGACAGATAAGAAAACTGCAGTCCTTTTAATATCCATATTCAAATTCTGTTTCTCTTCTGTTACCAACAAACCACCCCGTACCATTTTGTGGAGTCAAAATGGAGACAGTGCCATGCTTTTTGACAATTTGTGCTGGAGTGCAAAGGAGCACACACTCACCACCTACACACACGCATACACAAAAATCATAAATGTGCTTAAAGTATTTGTACAATTAAAAGCAGGCACTCTGCTCCAGGTTGGCTTAAAAAAAAGGCTATTTTTCCAAAAGAATCTTGGCTATGTCAAACATGACAGTGCACCAGGCAGTGAATAGAGTATGATACAGCTGTGATTCACATGTACACAAACACATCAACACATCAACACCCATGTCAAAATATTACATACAGTACTTTAAAATATATTACTAAGAAACTGTTGTTATCTGATAACGTGCAAAACTAAGCACACCTTTCACAACACTCTCACGCACAATGTTCATCTTTTACATGATATACAATGAATAATTGTACAGACTAAGTAATAAATATCATCTCACAAATATGTTTTACTGGTCACTTCTGTCTTCCACTTAATGTAAATTCCAAGTACTATGTAATGCCGTCCCATGCACCATCTTTAAGTTTCCGCTATATAACAAAGGCCAAAAAGGAGAATTCTTCTAGACGTTTTCTTCAATCTTGTGCTTTCTTAACATCTACAAACAGAGAGAGAAAGGATCCAATGCCAAAAGCTGTCTGTATGCATCAAGTGGCAGAATATAATTTATGGTGATAGAAATGATTAGATAAATGTGTCATGTGATATAATATTTCAAAAAAGGAATAAAGTCAAGAGAGCTTCATTTTCAGTGGCTAAAGCTATCCTTCACAGCATAGGTGGGAGCAAAGTACCAAAGTCCAAAGAATCAGAGTCAGTCAGATACTGTGCCGTATTAATAATAACTAATGATACAAATAGTTATAAACCTTTGTGAAAATAGACAAAAACGGAGAGAAAACACGTTCAGTAAATTGTAAAAACAAGGAAAGGACTTGTGTCTGTGCCTTTCCCTCTGTCTCAGAAGCCAGGCACGTGGCAGTACGCCTCCAAGGAGGACAACAGGATGTAGATGAACCAGAGAGAGAGGAAGAGGAAGAAGGTGAGAAGCTTGGCTGTCCGTGGGCCACCGAGCTCTCCTCCAGACACGGTGGGACGTCGGCGGTAGAGCAGCACCAGCACGCACACCAGCGCCATGATGGTGAAGAGGGTGACAGAGAAGGCCAGGGACCCCGGGTTCACTTTGAACACCTTGCCTTTGGTGTACCAGTAAACTGCTGCAATGGTCCACGCCACTCCGATGCCTAAGAACACGTTGACCGCATTGCTGCCCGTCACATTTCCAATAGAGGCGTCAGCATATTGATCCTGGATGGCAGCCACCTTACTTGCAAAAGTGTCTGTAAAAGAGAGAGAAATAGGCAAATATATATAAGTAATCAGTAATGTGCACAGACTGAGTACAGGTGCCACAAACACCAGGGACTGTACAATAAGCACTACATGTATTTAAGGAAATTCAAGCCTTAATTTAGGAAGTACCGCCATTATTATACTGTATATAGTTTCCCAATTTCAAAGGCTCAAAAATAATTGACTTACAAGTAATTTCATGGCCAGATGAGGCATATTTACCAAATTAAGCCATTAAAGATCTGGAGTTGATTTAGTAGTTGTGACTGGAACTCTTAGCATGTAAGTCCAAAGTGTCCATGCAAGTGCAACGAGGCCATGATTAGGCTGAAAGTTCAAAGGAAAAACTTAGGAACACAGCCTAAGCTGTAAGAGTGGCCAAATCAACAAACTAGATCATGGTTACAACGAATAAATGGACTGTTCAGCTAAGCAATACCACACATCCCAAAAGACTACAGAAGACTAAAGTGTATGATTGCAGAAGTTATTTCTTGGTTGGTTTCATCGATTCTGTCAAGAACACTCAATAGGAGGTATAAAACTGGATTATTTTATGAATCTACAATCAAGACATGCTTTTTGGAATGGAAATACAAAGACAAGAATAACAAGGTGCAAACCTCTGGTTACACTTAAAAACATGAAAGTCTGATTAGGCTTTCCTGGAAAAAAGGGTTGTCAAAGAAAACAAAAATCATACTCAGATATAAATATATAAATATAAATAGATAATAAAATTAACATTGTATTAAGATAGTCATTTGAATCACTACTGATACAAACTCCCTCAAAAAGAGAGACTCAAAAACAAGCAGCAGCTGGAGATGGCTGGAGTAAAGGCCTGCCAGAATAATGCAAAGGAAGAAACACAGGATTAGGTGATGTCCATGTTTCCAGTCGTTGACTAAAAAGGGTTTTCATTCAAGTATTAAAAACAACACTTACATTTAAAGTGATGTTAGTTGTGTTTCAAAATTGTCGTAAACAGTTATTGTCTTGATGCATGCTCAATCATCCAGGTAAGTAAATCCCAAAGGGTTGAGACACATTTTTTCTAAACACCACATCTCCTCGGCTTTTAAAACATGTTGCGCCAAAAACTGGTCCACCTCAAGGATTGGGTCCCCTGACACAAGCAGAGTAGTGTAGTGTACTCTGTTAAGTGCCTGGAGGATTGCCATGATTTATACATGGCAAACAACCTCTGGGGAAGTGGATGGCACAACCTCGTCAGGCCAGGACTCCGCAGTCTATTTACACCTAGAGGCCAGTGGACACTCTTTTAATGATGAGGATGTACACATCCTGGACAGGGAGGAACGCTAGTTTGAGCGTGGAGTCAACGAGGACATTTAAGTGAAAAAAGGAAAGACCATCTCTGAATTGAGGGGGGGGGGGGCTAAGGGTACATCTTTCACCATCTTAAAGTGCCGTGATTGCAGCCATTCCCCAACTCTCTGTGAATGGTACTCATGGCCATTGATCAGTGGGCTTTGATCAATGGTCTAATTTTGCTCTAATGTTCATAATTCCACACATTGCCGAAAACCCAAACAGCACACGCAATAACAGGCTTTATCTAAGCGTCCTGTTAATGTTGGTGGGGCGTCAGTTACACAATGGACCGAAAGCCAGCACAACAGAGCCAGCGGTGCACGGGCAAGAATTCACTTCTTACTTGGAAATTCGTCTAAATTAGTTGTGGTAGCTACCTGGGCTATGTGCCACTTCAGTATCTTTGATGTACTATTGCAGTGTGATTTATTACTATTAATGAAGGCTGCATTACAACCTGCTAGCTGCAAATAATCACGTGCAGTTCTGAAAGCAGACAGAAAGAAAACATATTACTGATACAGAAATAGTTTTCTACACGAGATCACTGCAAAAACTGCAGCCTTACCTAATGTCCACCCTACTGTTACTCATTTTATATTAAGATTTTAAAATCTAGTTGGTATTGCTTTCAGAACTGCACATGATTATTTTACAGCCAGCAGGTTGTTAATGCTATCCATCAAGTCTAACCTCAGCTAATGCTAGCTAACAATGTTAGCTCGGTGGCGAGTAGCCTTCAGTAATAAATCACACAGCAATAGTACATTCATGTAGATGTAAAAAGCAAGACAATATATTAGGTAATCCAAAGTATTCAGAATACGTTACTCACATTGAATAACTTAACGGAATACATTACAAACTACATTTTGGGCCATGTATCCTGTAATCTGTAGTGGAATATATTTTAAAAGTGACCTTCCCAACACTGTTTGTTGATCAATGGTCATGACAATGGTCATCACAGCCCCTTGTCCAGTGGCTAATTTCAGTCATTGTGCGATGTACTGTTTATAAAGCTGGGGAAAGCTGCAGTCAGCTGAGACTGAAGAAGTCACTTGGATGAGTGATGAAACGTTTCTCCCACTGAACATGCTGCGTCCAGATGAACAGAATCAAACCAGATTTTTGTGAAACTCAGTTATTTAAAGCTGAAAATCTGAAGATAAAAGCTGAAAATAACACTGTTTTTGTGTAATATTGTTCTCATAAAACAATAGCCACCCATGGTACTCTGTGTGTACGTTAATTGTTATTAGGCTGTTGTAGTCTTGTGGCCCTGCATTAATGATTAGAAGGACCACATCCTATATGTGGTTGTGGGAATACAGACAATAGCCTACTGTGAAACTGCAAAATAGAAAACTTTCTCTCATTGATGAAACATTGTTTGGCTCGTAAACAGATCTGACTTTTACTCACAGTAAAATAAAAATGGGCTCCCAGCTGTCAAGCAGTTCAGGACTCAAGAGAAATGCTGTTATGTATCAAATAATATATGTGTAGCTAATAAACTGTGACTCTGTATGTGACAGATCACTTGTCTGCAGTGTAAAAAAGCACAATGTTGTTTTCTGACTGTCAAGAATAATTATTTTTAAGCTGGCTAATTACTGAAGTCAAGTTCAGGGATCATTGAACAACTGAAAACACGAGAATTTGACTCTTATATTAAGAGCTAGTTTACATTCATTAATGGTGACTTTTTCAAAAAG